ATAGCAGCGGTAGCGGTGGCCAGCGGTGGCGCCGTACCTTAGGGCTGTTGGGTCTTCTTGGCCTTTTGCTCGTCTGCTTTGGAGGGACATGCTTCACAACTTTTGTTTGTGTTTGCTTCACGCCGAGTTTTACTATATCTGCCCATGATTTTGCAACTGTCAAAAAGAAAAGACAATGAAACTCTGCAAACCTTGGTATGAGACGATAGAGCCAATTCCTGCCACTGTAACACTGACCAATCAGGTTGGCCTCGGAAGCCCCACTCCTCCTCTTGGAGCAAATCATCTGTAAGATGTCATGCTGACCACGGCTGATGGAGGCCCTCTTGGGAGGCAGGTTGCCAGTCTTCCTCTCCTTCTTCGGAACATCTGTCTCATGTAGGGATTTGTTTCTGCTGGAGGCAGGCGAGGTCCTACTTGACCTGCGTCTTTGGTCATTTGCCCTTGAGGGAGTTTTTCCTGGACTAGGAGCTGCAGCCACGCATACCTGTGCCGTCACTTCCGCACAGAGTCCAGGAGGCTCTTCTTTTCCCAGTGACTGTGGCTGCCCCTGACAAGACAGAGCTCAAATGTGAGAGACCTGGCAAGGGGCAAACTCTTCTGAGGCCTGCTGGAAGCTCTTCAACAAAGCTCTGCTCTTTAACCTGTGAGGTACCAAGTGGGCAAACCACTGTCTTTCGGGGGTCAGAGTCCTATGTGCATCAGCAGAGTGTGAACTGAGGTTATTTCAGGTTGGGGGCAGGTTGCTGCTGCTCAGTGAAACTGACTTCAGCCGAGCTCTGCTCTTTAACCTGTGAGGTACCAAGTGGGCAAACCACTGTCTTTCGGGGGTCAGAAAGAGGTCAGTGTCCTATGTGCATCAGCAGAGTGTGAACTGAGGTTATTTCAGGTTGGGGGCGGGTTGCTGCTGCTCAGTGAAACTGACTTCAGCCAGGCCACTATCAGCCCTGAGGTCTGCAAAGAAGGGGCTGCTCACTTCGGGGAGCCTGGACAAAGGAGGAAAGTACGGGGTATGCCTACTAGTCCTTTTGGGAGTAACGAAGAATAAAGCAATCCAGGCCCTTTTAGGAAAGGGAGCTCTGCAACCACACCCTTCCAGAGATCTGAAAACAAGGGAGGGTAACAAAATAGGCAGGGGACTAGAGGTCTAAGGCGCCAAATGTTGGGCAGATGCTTCAGCAAAGATTTTCCTTCCCATCACTTAAAAGCCTGAACTAGACCCTTATAAGCCTGAAAGGAAATCAAATAAGCCTTGTGATTACATGTGATAATATCTTCAAATCCTTTCAACTGGTCATTTTCAGTGTGTCCGAGCAGGTGGTGGCCCTATGGATGTACAGGGTCTTTACAGAAGGAAGGCCAAGTGCCCAGAACGCCACCCCACCTCCGTAACCCCCTTAAAACTGCAGTTGGAAGCCCAGATGGTGGTCTTCAGATATGAAATAAGTAGCAGAAAAAAAATAAAGATCTCAATGATCATTCTCAGTCTGGGTTCTAGAAGGCATGTGAATCACCTATGAGCCAGAAAGAAGAAACCCAGTGCGGACTGTCCTACCTTGATGATTTTCTTCAGCACAGCTGGTGTGTGAGTGATAAGCGACTTCCTCTTGGTCGGTGTTTCTCCTCTCTTGAGTGGTGTATTAGGAGGCAAGTTTTCATCGAATAACTCGGGCCTGAGACGACCACCGAAGGACACACGTCTTCTCTTCAAAGATGTTCCCTCACTCTTGTCTGAAGTAAAGCGTGCAAAGAGGAGCATGAAAACGCATGTCTGGACTTGGGATTTAGGTCAAACAAGCATTAAAATGCAATACAGTGCAATGTACTCAAACTGGATGCCTTTATTCATGGTACTGATGAAGCCATAGCAGCTTTAGAATTTCCTGAAAATCTCAGAGAAACCACCGAGACATCGAGTTCAAGCTGGAGAAGACAGGTTCTCCCCCACACACTGAAAACTCGATGTGACGAGGCTTAAGAAAATGATCAGCCTACGCAGCAGCACCTGGCCCCTTCAAGCAGAGGGACAGAATTTTAGCCACAGTTTGAAGAAACTTGATACACGGCACAAGGACTTGGGCCAGACCCAGACCTGCCTCATGAACAGACACATGAGCAGCAGAAACCTCCAGGTAACGCTGATGGGCAACTCACGCAAGCCAACATGGTCTACATAAGCCTTTGTCCAAGAGAAGCGTTCCCATTATGAGGCTCCACAGAACGCTGGCTGACGCATACAGGTGTCACGAACAGACAACCACACCAACAAACCGCCAACACTAACTGGAGCCTGGAGACCTTTTCTTTGTGTAAGCCATCATTTAGCAAGTGTAAGAGAACACAGAACACAACACCCAGGAGCTGCACTATGTCCAGAGATCTTCAGATGACTGACCAAGACCAAACTCATAGGGTACAGTTGACTTGGCCTGGAACCTACCATAAATGAAAAGCCAATTATAATTATTCCCCTTATTTTGTGACAGAAAGAAAGAAAACTACGTATCTCCCTAAGTAGCCCCCACGATGTGGGTACCCCACACACTAGCCACACCTCCTGTGTTACACCCCATCACAAAGAGTCAAGTCCTCGGGTCCATCTATCAGACAGGAAAGTAGATCCATAGTTAAACAACTTACTCGTGGAATTACCGAAGTTGCTGACATCAGCCGAACTAAGACCAGGTAACCCAGAGCCAAGCTGTGCCGCTGCCGGGGCCAATTTCTCAGGCTTGCCAAGGGAATCTTTTGGAGGTTTCTTTTCAACTGGAGCAAGGCACTGAGTTAAAGAAGGCTGGTTCTGAGTTTCTGTAACGAGAACTTCTGCTTTCACAGACATTCTCCTCTTTCTGGAAGAGAGATTTCTGGGTGTATCGGGAGGGTCGGCAGCGCCTTCAGCTTTCACTGGAGTTTGGTTTCTAGCTGCAAGCTTCCTGGGAGTGACTGTGTTGGAAACTGGGCTGCCGTCCTCACTCCGACCCGGACTTGCAGGCCGTCTCCTGTCAGCAGCGTGGAGCTCTTCATCCTCAAGTTGCTGTGAACTGCGCACAGGGGTCTTCGGTTTAGTCATCTCAGAGGGAGACATGCTGGAGTTTTTTTTTTTTTTTTTTTTAAACCATTGGTTCTAAAGGATTAAACTCAGGTCCTAATGCTTGGATAGAAAGCATTTTACCCTGAGCCATCATCTCCCCAGCCCCATGACCCCATGTCCGCTGCATAATCAGGTTGTGGCTCTGATTTTCTACGACTCTGTTTCTGTGATTTTACACCCAACTCTTCCCTCATTGACTGATAAAGTTTCATAAAGGGAGAGTCAGTCTTCATGCCCAGGCTCAGTGCTGGGGGGGCAGACCTCAGTTCCCCAGAACAGCTCACCGTCGGCCTGTCCTTCTTCGTGTCCCCAGAAGCGGGCTCCCCTGTATGTCTGCCACCATGTCCCACATGTCGAGAAGTAGGTGGATCCTGGATAACACTGTCCTTTGAGTCATCTGAGGTAGGACTGTCTCCAGTGAACCTCTTGACATGCACCAGAGACCTTCTTGAAGGAGTGATTTTCCAGTGAGCTTGGGAATCTTGACCTTTCTCATCTTGGCAATAAATGATGAAATAAGAAACATGAGTTCAACACTTTTCAATGATCCTATATTTGTGGAA